GTAATATGTAGATTATCAAACTCTTCTTCAATGAAAAAAGTAAAACAGCTCAATTAAATTGCAAACTGTGTCCGATAGATGGCGACACCAATATTAAACAAAACTTCTGTAAATTTATCATATATCATGTTATATTTGTTTTACAACTTAAAATTACACAATTCTAACTTTATTCAATGCTAAATTGTCAATCGCATTTGCATATATTCTAATTTTACTCATAATTTATCACAACTTATGAATGCATCAAATTTAAATTCCATTCAATGCTAAAATATCAATTGTAATTGTTTACACATTAATTTAATTCATATTTTAATCACAACCTATGATTGCATCAAATTTAATACCAATCAATGCTTAAATATCAATTGTGCTTTTTATATTCACGAAAATTTCTAATTATTGCATAAATCATGACTTATATTAAATATCAAATCATGTTTAATTTATCAAGCAAATATGCTTGATCTTCTGTAATGCTACCTAAATGCTGCATAATTCAAAATGTTTTTTGATTCAACTTGTAAATACTTCATGATGAATGGGTTAGGGGCCGTTGCGCGGCCCAGGCACCCAGTTTTAGTTAAATAAAGAGAAAGAGAGAACATGAGTCATGATAAACCTTCTAAAATAATAACAATATCCGTCTAATATTTGCAAATTTAGTTTGTAGTTATTGGGCTAGCCGTGAAAATTTGGGGCGGGTTTAACGAAATTTATCAAAAACACCTTGACTAACTGTTTCGGTCCCTAGGTACCCATTAGGATAACTCTCCTATTACTGACAGAGATATATCAACAACTTGTTTTAAGCAAAATATTTAATTAAGTGGTAGAAAGTTAAAAAATTAAGACTTTCAGAATGTTTTGAAATTTTGACAACATCTGAAAGCACTACTACGAGAAAGCTGTAACAATGTGGCGCTTCATATGAACTTTTGGATCTTTGGCACGCTATGGCGTAGTAAGTAACTCAAGATCAAATTTACAAAACAATGATTCATTAATTAAAACATAAAATTAGCTACTACTGGAATAAATTTTAACGAAAAGCGTTGAAAGTTGGCAGCCTTGTATAGGGTACATACAACCTGGAAAAATTAAAGAAGGATGACGAACTTTTCTAGAGATAACTGAAAATTTCATAAAGTTAAATACGAATTATTTTTATGAAATAGGTTTTGAACTACCTCACAGCGATGAACAAAATATTTTTTTTTAGCAGATCTGAATAGGTCAACATTCCCGCCAACTTTCACTCTTTCCGAAAATGGATTTTCAGTGTGGTTGTAAAACAATAAACGAAAAACAATCTGACTCAAAAATATACTTATATTTTGATCCCGTTGCACAAGGATTATTATGCTTTTGCATATTTATTATAATTATTTATATGCATTGGTGGTCAAACTCATTTATAATTATCATTATAATTCAAAAAGTTAATTGGAATAACATGAGTATTGTTACCACTTTAAATATGAAGATAAAATCTTCGGGAAAATCCGGAAGAGTTGGCAGGTATGCGTCAAAGTATCGATATTTTCCCCACTTTTGCTACCACATTAAAACAATTTCCAACCAATGCATTTTATGCCGTAAAACATCAGATATGAAGAGGTTAATGAACAAATTTTTCAAACATGAAAACAGGTAATTAATAATAGCTTTTATAACAATTATCCCCAAGAAAAAAGTATCTATTAATATGGTTACTATAACATGGGAAAACAGATAAAAGCAATTTAAATTTTTTAACGGTTACTGAAAAGTTTTTAAATATAGTTTCCTTTTTGCAATCCACACCACGCTTCTTACTTTAAATTCTTTTAGATAGATACATTTTCAATCAACAATATTTTGCTCAATTTCAGAATAACCTTAAGGAACCTATAAATGAGGGTCGGGGGACGTTGGGTTCATGTTTCTGAGATCTGGAGTTCGAATCACACCGGCCGAAGAACACCCGTGTATTAAATGGTGACTAGTGCACGTTGAATCTGCAGTGCTCACAAAGTTCTCCAATTTCCCATAGCAAATCATTACCTTTGGGGATACTGAATAGTAGATTAAACGATCAAACTAACTGTAAAATAACTACCACTTTAATTCTTAAATATTCTTATACTAGTTTATTATAATATTATATTGATAACTTCTGCTTCTAACAACAACAATANATTTTCATAAATATTTAGACTAAGTTTATGAAACTTATTGCAGTTTATTGCAAATAACAACTTATACCAAACACGTACATGCATATAATGGTACTATTGAATAAGCGAACATGCAAACATTGTATGTACAGTGCGCAAAAAGAAACAGACCGCACAGAATAGCTCTTGTTCCAATGATTGGGTTTTCACGTTCTTTAACTAAATTTGAATGGCTCGAGGGGGGGATTTCAAGTATTTCTAATTAATAAGTGCAGACGATATTTTGAGTTATATAAATCCGACACGAAAATGTACTTTCTCTGAATAAATATACCGGTTTTTCGACTGATTCGAAATTCTGATTCTCAAAATGTAGGGATAAGCGCAATCTGGAAAATATGGTCCAAATAGTTTGGACAGAAGAACGCTATAAAGTTTGGACCACCCTAATGTTAATTTCATTTCTTGCGCATTTTGTTACATCACGAGAAGTTTAAAAAAATATCATGTATAAAATTCGTTTACCCAAACATAGTTTCATGCAAAAAGTAGCCTATATTAAATATTTATAATTTTTTTTACTATTTTATATAATAATTTTTGAAGGTATATAATTTTTTAAATTCTTCTTATGAAAATAATTTTATATCTCAAAACTATTCGAACAATTTTGCTCAGATATAGAATTTCGCCATGCGTAATTACATTTTTTAAAATGGTCAAAAATTGTGTACCTTAAAATACAAAATTTTTCTTATAATTTTTATATAAAATAATAAATATTTACTGAAATATATTTTTTTCGTGAAAATAATTATCCTTGGATAAATGAATTTTATAATTGTGTGAAAAAAGTCTTCAACTCGTTTAAAAAGCTTTCGAGATTTTGCGCAATACGCAAAAGAATAAAATTAACATTAAGGGGTCAAAACCATGGAGAGCTCCCCTGACCAAACTAGTCGGATCTTAATTCCCTGATTGCGGCTATCACCGTACTGTAGGAGTCAGAAATCCGAAACAATCGAAAAAAAGGTGCGTTTATTCAATACGTTTATTATATTATTTTAGAGTTTGATTTCGTAACTTAGAATATCGTTTGCACTAATAAATTGAGGCCACCCTCCCTATACATTTGAGTCTTTGAACGTGAAAATCCCATCTTTAGATCAAAAGTCATTCAGGATGGTCCGTTTTTTTTTAGCACACTACATAGAATATACATGTATGCAGGCACATAAAATGTACGTTGGCACATTCATCGTGCATATACATCCAGGTACATTGTATTTCCAATCAATGTATGTATGTACACAAAACATATGCATGTTCATTGCGGAAATAAATAAACAGACTACTCTAAATAACTTTTGATCTAATGATAGGATTTTAACGGTCAAAAACTCAAACTTAATGACTCGAGGAGGTTATTCAAAGTATGCTAATTAATAAGTGCAGACGATATTTCTATAGTAACATAATCAAGCACATTATTGTACTTTCCCTGAAAAAACATACCTTTTATCTACTGATTCGAGTTTACAAATCTCAAAATATAGGGAGCAGCCACAATCTAGGAAATATGATCTCATTTGATGGGTCAGGAGAGCGGTCCGGAGTTTGTGCACTTTAATATTAATTTTACTTTTTGCGTCTGTCTCCATATCTCGCTTAGAATCGCAAAATTCAATTAAGTGAAGGTAATTCTTTGCAAAATACAATTTTTAATAAACAGTTTTTATTATTTCATTTTAAAACAGTTGAAACATTTTGAATTTTCAGGTATACAATTTTCACTCCATTTTAAAGAAGGTACTTTTATTGACCAAAGTACAAAATTAGAAGAAAGTTAGTCAAATAGTATCTGAGGTCGAGATGTTCTTGGCTTTACAGGTAATACATTACTGGCTATTAAAATTGATACACCGGGAAAGCGACACAATACGAACGTGAAATTTGCCGAACGGATAATAAAGCATGTTGTGGTATGCAAATGATTAGCTTATCAGCTCATTCATTCAAAGCAGGCGGTGGTAGCAACACCTACAATGTGTATAAAACAAGAGATTTGACAGTACGTTTCTCATTCAGAAATTGAATTTGAGCGTTGCTTTGGGGTTAAAAAGTGTTTGTTATGTCTCGTGTAAGAACCAGCACGTGTCTGAGTGTCATCGAGGACAAATTGTGGCCTATCGGGATTGCGGTTTATCATACCGAAATATTGCTTCTCGCGTTGGTCGAGATCTGATGACTGTTAGCAGAATATGGAATCGATGGGTTCATGACGATCATATGAACACCGTGTAGGATCTCAGTGGCCCCCTATTACTAACAGCCGAGAAGACAGACATGTTATCCACATGGCCTTAAGGGATCACACAGCTACGTCACGAACTCTGAGTCATCAAATAGGATCATTTGCAATACAACAAGTGTCTGCACGAACAGTTCGACAACGTTTGCAGCAGCATGGACTGTCAACACGGCAACCATGGCCTCGGCTACCCTTGACGCAGCATCACACGCAGGAGCTCCTCCAATGGTGTGATCAACGACGAACCAGGACGCAGGAATTGCTTGACGTCGTCTTTCAGAAGAATCCAGCTTCTGTATACAGCATCATGATAGCCGCATCCGTGTTAGGTGACATCGTGGAGAATGCCCATTGGCTGCTTGCATTCGACATCGTCATACGGACTCATCACCTGGAGTAATGGAATGGGGTGTTATTGGATACACGTCGCGATAACCTCTTGTTTGCATTGTCGGCACTTTGAACAGCTGTCGTTACATTTTAGATGTGTTAGGGACTGTTGTTCTGTCTTGTCTTCGAGGCTTCCATAACGCTACGTTTCAGTAGGACAATGTACGACCGCATGTTGCACGCACTGTCTTGACCTTCTTTGACACAGATCATGTTCGCCTGTTGCCCTGGCCAGCACTTTCTCCAGATCTCTCACCAATTGAAAATATCTGGCCAATGGCCTTAGAACGACTGGCATTCCACTGCTCGTCAGTCACTACGATCGATTAATTAAGGCATCATGATGAAGCTGCATGGAATGCTGTACACGTCCACGCTATCTAATCTCTGTTCGACTCGATGCCCAGGAGAATAACTGCTGTTACTTGCTGCCAGGGAAGGCTACTCTGAGTACTGATTCCTCAGGATCAATACATCCAAATATCCTAAAAATTTAATCACTTTTTCTTCCAACTATAATCGTATGTGCCCAATAAATATCATTCTGTTATTTGCATTCCCTGCTGGTGTAACAATTTTATTGGCCAAAGGTGTATCATTCAATTTTATCAAAAAAAAATTAGTTTGGAACTGAAATCGTCTCCCTCCTGTTATTTTCAGTGAATGCATCCCATGAAAACCAAGTTAGACCTAAATGGCAATAGATAAGATCGTGTCGCATTCAGCCACACTGTCCTTACATTTTTTAATAAGCTTATTATAACCAAAAAGTTTTGAATTCAGTGAACAAAATATTTTTAACATTTTAATTTTTTCTATTTCGTATAAAATCACAAAAATCGGTTAATTTTTGAAAATGACACTTGTATTATTATTATTTTTTTTTAATAATCTGAAGACATTTTGTTTCAGATAAGGATATTAATGATAAGTTGGATTCATGCATCATATTGACACCAGAAGAGGTATGATTATATATTTCGTAGAACAATGTTGATTAAAGCAAATTTAAACCATTTTATATATTGCATTTTATGACCAAATTCTCAATAAATTGGTGATTCTTTGTTGATTGATAATAAAATTCGAGAGAAACTAAAAACCAATCTAACGTAGTAGTAGTAGTTGTTCATTTACGTCGCACTAGAGTTGCACAATGGGCTATTGGTGACTGTCTGGGAAACATCCCTTAGGATGATCCGAAGACATGCCATATAAATTTTGATCTTGTGCAGAGGGGATGGTACCCTCGCTTAGGTAACACGACAACCTGCGCGCGAAGTCGGGCACTTTACGGTAGAACAGTTTAACGAGGACCAATGCGGCACACCCCGGATCCCTACGCAGACTGATTCAAGTGGCCACCCACCCGCACACTGACAGCAACCAGTGACGCTAGACGTCGGTGCTGGGAACCGTAGCTTAACGATCAGTCCAATGCGGGACAAAAAGCAATGTAACATGCCAATGCACATACCATTGTAAACATAATTATTTAGAAATGCCTCTCGCCATATCCGATGTAAACAATTTTCATTCAAAAATAGCGTATACATCAGTAAACTCCAAAACGCAAATGTGGTGTACTTCCATTAAAAAGACCTCCATGTAGGCAAACTTCTCCTAATACTTGATCCAGGAGTTCCCTTGTCTTCTGGATTGGGTTCAAAATTTCAAGACTACGGAGTTCAGCATTAATAGTCGTAAACCCAAAAATTGAGTCGACTATTCAACGATGGTCATAAAATAAAAAAATATTTTTGTAAATGCCGTGGTGGCTCTGAATATAGAGCATTAGCGTCCCATTAAGGTAAACCACGATCGAATCCCTTCAATGGCTGGTCGATACGAATTCAGAAGCTTGGCTCACACTGACCACAATGCTTGTGTAGAATCCGTTTGCATTGAATCATCTCTGGACAAACGATCTTTATAATTATTCTCGAGCTATAGCAACATACACAAAAAGTAATATTATGATTAAGGGGTAAAACGTTCGGACTGCTCTCCTGACTAAACTATGAGGATCATATTTTCTGAATTGCAGCAACCCCCTTGCACGTTAGAGGTAAGAAGTCAGAGTTCGTCAAATGAAAGGTATATTTAGCTGACAGATTAAGTATGTTTGTGTTTCTGATTACGTCGCATAAAATACTGTCTACACTTAGTAATTAGCATGTTTGAGGTCGATGCTTTAACCTATTAAGAATGAGTCAAAGAACGTGAAAGCATTAACCATAAAATAAAAAGTTATTCAGGTTTGCACATTTTTCATGCACTCTGTAAATGAAAATACGGCAGCATTGGCCCGATAAACAATAATTATTTAAGATCTTTTTTCTTTTGGTTCCATGTAAAATTACTGAAAATGTAAAAATTCACAATAGCTTTATATTTCTTATTTTTTTTTAAAGTATGGTGTGAGCGCAATAAAGCATTTCGCAGATTTTCTTTCAATGGACTGGTCCTGGCCAAACTGGAACGCCTTATTTCAAGATTGGTGTGCCATGGATGAAGAAAAAGAGGTACCTTGCACAATCGACTTAATAATGACAATTTATAAAATATAAATAGATAAGGAATGACAGCAATTATTATTGAATAAATTTAAACAAGAAAAATATTTCTCAAAGTTATCCCTTCAGCTTGAAAAAAAGCTCCACGAAGAAATTAGAAAAAAATATGGAAATGAATAAAAAATATCGGAACTTATTTGCGGAATATTTTGTCGTTGGAAATTTCGCCGAAAAAAAAAACGATAAAATATTGTACTGGTCCAGGTTAGACAGAGAAGCAGCAATCCAAGATTAATGCCCCGTGAATAAAAAAAGAAGGTCTATTGCACAAATGAGTAAGCAATGACATTTCATAAAATAGACGGGGAATGCCCATTATTGAAGTAGTTTAAAAAATTTACTGATTGTTTTGACATCAGTTTGCGCAAAAGCTGCGGGGTTGTAATAGGAACTAAATGTTAAAACTGATGAAGGATATCTGAACTTTTTTTCTGGAAATTTTACAGCAGAGAAATTTAACGAGAAAAAATTAAAATATTGCTTTACAAACATTTTAAACATTTATAATTGATTTGGTACACAAAGACGAAGATTTTTCAACTATCATGAAAGCGTGGATAATTCAAACAAATCTTTTTGAATATTTTTTTTCGAATCACATGAAATTACAATATATGATGCATTTATTTACTTTTATAGTTTATAATAATGGAGTAATAGACTAAAATTTCAAAATGAGTGCAAAGGGAGAAGAATGGATTATTTATTTAATTAGGACCAGTGTATAATAGAAAAATTGTCCTGGTGACAAAAGAGTCCCCGTTAAGGTAACTTTCACTTCTTTGGTTTGGAATTTTTACTTTAGGAGAAATCAAAATAAATACATAAATTATTTAAGCTCATAAGCAAGTCTATACATTTTTCCCTCTCTTAAACTAATTAACATGAACACGAAATTTTTTCTCGAATTATAAAATTGGCCATGGAAACTCAAATTGACTGTAATTTAAAAGTAACAAAGTTACTAAATGATTTGTTTTATATCCTATGTAAAACTTAATTCAATAAATTAAATATATTTTGCAATAGCAGGAAAAATTACTTGAACCATCATTGGGCCAACATTCATAAATCTTGGCTCAATTAATGTTCAAATAGTCGTTATTTTTCTGATATTGGCAGTAGATAGAATTTTCCGATTCACCCCATATTTTACAGTCACTTTACAACCATTATTAGTCCCATGTAAATTATGAGATCCACCCAATATTTTATATCCATTATTTAGAAAATATAGGTTCTATAAAGGCCAATTTAGGCCCTATATTGGCCATTACGGGAGCAATATTAAAAAGNTTTGAAAATTTTTTTAATCGAAATATGTATGTAATTAACTGAAATAATTGTGTGTATGTAAATTTTTCTTCCTCTTTCTTTAAAGAAGGACGAAGTATTTTGTTCTCGTTATTTGAATTTTTCTAGTCTTAAACGAGGATAAAATTTTAACTTAATTCAACAAGCAACTTTTAAAAATATCCATGAGCGCGAAGATTCGTTTATGACTTTTGCGAGTGCTGTATTGAGGCGAGCGTAGGGTTGCCTCTGAGTGAGGGTTACTAGATAAGGCGGTGAAACAGTTGACAAATAAAACCGCGGCGAGTGGAGGTGCCCGGGAGTCGACAATGTGTAAAGTCGCGTCCAGGTTAGGCAGAAAAGCAGCAATTCAAGATTAATGCCCCGTGAATGAGAAAAGAAGGTCTATTGCACAAATAAGTAAGCAATGACATTTCATAAAATAGACGGGGAGTGCCCATTAAAGTAGTTAAGAAAATTTACTGATTGTTTTGACATCAGTTTGCACAAAAGCTGCGGGGTTGTTATAGGAACTAAATGTTAAAACTGATGAAGGATGTCTGAACTTCTTTGCAGGAAATTTCGTAGCAGAGAAATTTCATGGGAAAAAATTAAAATATTGCTTTACAAACATTTTAAACATTTATAATTGATTTGGTACACAAAGACGAAGATTTTTCAATTCTCCTGAAAGCGTGGATAATTCAAGCAAATCTTTTTGAAGATTTTTTTTCAAATCACATGAAATTACTATATATGATTTAATTATTAACTTTTATTGCTTATAATAATGGAGTATTAGACTAACATTTCAAAAGGAGAAGAATGGATTATTTATTTAATTAGAACCAGTTTATAATAGAAAAACTGTCCTGATGACAAAAGAGACCCCGTTAAGGTAACTTTCACCACTTTGTTTTGGAATGTTTACTTTAGGAGGAAGCAAAATAAATACATAAATTATTTAAGCTCATAAAAAAGTCTATACATTTTTCCCTCTCTTAAACTAATTGAAATGAACATGACATTTTTTCTCGAATTGTAAAATTGGCCATGGAAACTCAAATTGACTGTAATTTAAAAGTAACAAAGTTACTCTATGATTTGTTTTATATCCTACGTAAAACTTAATTCAATAAGTTAAATATATTTTGCAATAGCAGGAAAAATTACTTGAACCATCATTGGGCCAACATTCATAAATCTTGGCTCAATTAATGTTCAAATAGTCGTTATTTTTCCGATATTGGCAGTAGATAGAATTTTCCGATTCACGACCCCATATTTTACAGTCACTTTACAACCATTATTAGTCTCATGTAAATTATGAGATCCACCCAATATTTTATATCCATTATTTAGAAAATATAGGTTCTATAAAGGCCAATTTTGGCCCTATATCGGCCATTACAGGAGCAACATTAAAAAGTCTGCAAATCTCAATATAGGAACCATGTTGAGGCAATTTTGAACGCAACTAAGGAATAGGTAAAATTGTTGCTAGGGTAATTATTAACCCTCCTTTAGATGATTTTTTTTATTTGTTTAAGAATTAAAAGAAATTGATCTAATTCATGGTCTAATAGATTAAAGGAAAAGTGTTTTAAAAAATTATTGCTATATCATATAAATACTGCTATGACCGATATTTTATATCCTTAATTAGAAAACGTAGGTTCTATATTGGCCAACTTACGCCCGATATTGGCCATTATAGGAGCAATATTAAAAAGTCTAATAAATCGCAATATTGGTCCCTCAGTGCATGTTCTTATAGAACCCAGGATGCATTTTTAAACCCAATTGGGGCGGCATAGGTAAAATTGTTGTTAGGGTAATTATTAATCCATCTTTGCATGGTTTCTTATTTTTTGTGAAATAAAACAAATTGATCTACATAATTCATGATCTTATAAAGGAAAAATGTTTTAAAAAAATCATATCATAAATGTATAATCTATACATAATAATAAAAGCGGCTGTGTGTGTGTGTGTGTGTCTGTAATCACAATATATCGCCCCAGAAGCCTCGCCCAGGCACGAAACTCGGCACATAATTGTGTTTTGACATAAGAAGTATTTTTTTTCTTTTTCAAAAATTTGGATTAGTTATTTAGTTATCAGTCATTTTGTAAGTCTATGCTTTTCGTCTGCTTTTTCGTCTTCAAAGAGCCATATTCAAAAAACTTTAAAAAATGCATATACTTTTCCCCACTCTTATAAATGTATGCTAATGCGAACCTCACAATTGAAATATTAATTTTCGACAACTTAAACCAATAATATACGAAGGAATTAATAATTTAATTGTAAAGTTCGCATTAGTTTACATTTATTAAAGTGGAGAAAAGTTTAACTTTTGTATTAAAAATGTGGCAACATATTCGATACGTAAATAGAACGCTTCGCTTTGATATATTTGTCGCTGTTCATAATTGTTATAATAAGTTTTTCTTCTTCTTTCCACGCTCTTTTTTTTTTTTCTTAAGCGAAGACGATAATTTTTATAGCGATATTGTAGTACTTTGTACAACTAAAAATTCTTTTCACAACACTTTAAAAATATTTACTTTATTTTCTTTATATATACAGAGAACAGTCGGCAAAGAATTCGATTAGGTTGAAAAACATTTCGCTAAAAAGGAACGAATTCCAAAAGAAAAAATAAACAACTTAAAGAATAAAAATGCTGATGCCAGCCAATTTTTTGAAAGTTAACTTAGAAATAACAAACCAAACGATGTTAAATAACAAACCAAACGATGTTAACAAAATGACGTAGAAAGCGCAACTAGATCAAAATTATACAAGCACAACTAGATCAAATTATAATACCTGAGTGCTTGACGTAACAGATATAGAAATAGAATTTGATACCATAAAAAATTATATAGAAATAGAAATTGATACCATAAAAAATTTATTCGTTTTCGTGTTCTTTTCATGTATTTAGCATTTTAGTTTTTTTTTTCTTAAGCGTTGTAGCTATATAATTTCAAACATCCTCAAGAGCTATAACACATCTGCAGCAGAACTGGATATGAAGACAAAATTGCTGGACAGGAACACTTTAATTGTCCACTAATCTTCAGATTTCCTGCCATGTTTTAAAAAACTTTATTTGTGAAAACCTTCAGCGTGGCGGACAGCTGGCCGCTTTAGGCGGCTAGTATTAAATAAATCCAAAACAGTATGGTGAAAATATCAATAACTGTATAAAGTCCATAAAAAATAATATATCTTTGTACATCTTTTTTCTTCCTGATGATAATTTTAAAAAAAAATATTTTTATTATTATTCTCTTGCAACGCTCATATAATTTTAGCTACCACGTGGCGCTTGTCTTCAGAATTTTCGTCATCAAGAGCATTTTCTGATAGACAACCACTTTTTAAATGGTCCAAGTAATCTTCGATGTTCCTTCTGAATTTCTTCACAAAAATAATATAAAAATAAACATATGGTAAAACCATTTTCGACATACATTCGAAGTGAAACAAATGCATGGTAATGTAAATTTCTGCGGGGAGGGAGTTGATATCTACAGTGTCAAGCTTCATCTATGAAAAGGTACCACACTATGGTATCGATTAGCATGTTTTATACACTAGTGAATTAGGACTATATTTTTGTAGTGGTAGATACACTACATTACTCCCCCACCAGAATTATATCTGTTATAGAGTTCAATGAACGGATAGCACTAGTTGATTGATTACTGTTTTTTGTGAGATGCCGGGTGAACTGTATTAAGATCACCGTACTTTTTTGATGATTGTAAGTGTTGTATTAAGTTCACGGTCGTGGTTGCTCCCTGTGTTGCCATTAGCAGTCGAATGTATGCAAACTAACATTGTGTGAGATTGATACGAGACTGAGTAGCACCAGTGCGTGGAAGTGACTAATGTAGCAATGTGGAATATCTATCGAGGTAGGCGTGTTCAAATCGTAGTGGGCGTTTCTTCCAAGGTAGGCGTGTTCACATCGCGACCGCAGGTCACCAATGTTGAGAAAGTAGTTATCGATAATGTCAATCTTCTTCTATGAAAAGGTACCCCACCATAGATTCATCATCATCATCATCAATATTTATCTGAGCGCCTGGAGCCGTTAGCCGCCTTTTTCCCATTCGTCTTGAATTGTGATCTTTAGGGTGGTTCATTCTGGTAATTACCATAGATTCGAGTTAACATGCCTTATCTACTACTGAATTGTGATTGTATTTTTGTAGTGGTAGATACACACATGTCTGTCTCATGGTTTTGGGAAGATTATTTATGTATTTAACGTATATTGCGCAGAAAATATCGTAAACTCAAAAGAAACAACCATTTTTCCATTCATTAGCACTTGTTAGAAAGAAAATGTCAGAATATTTATCAAAATTCTTCACGAAATCGTACGTTTCTTCTAACCACAGCAAAAGGCAGAATGACAAGCTCAAACCGCCCTAGCAGCAAAATGACTTGGGCACTCATCGGGCCAATATTCACTAATCTTAGTTCACTAATGTTTCAAATTGCTGCTATTTTTCGATATCAGTCTATATATTTGGAAAAGACCAATATTTCCTATAGTCACATTGGTCTATATATCCTATTTAGATTTGTCCGATTCTCCCTACATTTTACAGTCACTTTACAACCAATATCGGCCTTTCACCTAATGAAGTTAAATAACCATCGCAGCAACTCAGCTCACCTAATGAAGCCGATTAGTTCATTTGCAGTTTTGTACAAATTACAACTGGGTTTGAGCCCCAGCACTGACTCCACTATATTTTTTCCATTCCCTTCAACACTTTTAAAGAGTGCCCCGAACTTCCCTATTTGTAACCGTGGACTGTTATAATATAAAACTCTATTCACACAAAGACGCCAGCACCTTAAAACTGCTTAACACAAAAACGACTTGTAATTCCAATCTCTTACGGGAGAGGAAACAATCAAATAAACTTATAAAATCACATCCCATGGTTTTTTTCATAAAACACAACTCAACTAAAACGTAACTTTAATGCCTATTACTTAACAAAAAGACCAATGCCCAGTAGAGTTTTTTTTTTTAACTGTTTTGAAACCATGCCAGTTGCAAATGGTTGAGGAACAGAACAGTTTTGTATTCGTGTTTCTTTTTTAACCATACTAGATGTTCACGGTTTCAAAATCGTAAAGGTAAAAACTTTTCTTTGCGTAAACTTTATGATTTGTAGATGGACATATTGCGGCGGTTATTCTAACGTAAGTCAGGAAAGTAAAATTTTTCAAGTGTGTTAGAAACACTGATGTTTGAAAAATGTGATTTCAAATCATTGTTATAAATGTTTATTAAAAAAAATATTGTCGTTTCCAAATTAAACTAAATTATTTCTTTTTCTTTTTAAGGAAAAACTGTTTGTAGAAGCTGTTCAGTATGCAACAGAAGATGGGGTAGTAAGTATTGAGCCAGTTAACTTATCCCGATGAGATTAAACAGATTTTTTTAACTGTCCGAGTCCGGCTCCTGCGATTTGAGAGGGGTCGAAGAAATTTTTTTCCCCTTGTTTCAGTACTGATCCCGCTATTTCACCGTGTAGGTTAAAAAAAAAAGAAAGAAAAAAAAACATAATTTGATGGTTATTTTCGCTGCTGGATGACACTAGAGCATACCTGTCAACTCTTCCGGATTTTCCGGAAGATTTTATTTTCACATTTAAAGTGGTAGCAATACTCAGGTTATTCCAATAAACTTTTTGAATTATAATGATAATTATAAATGAGTTTGATCACCACTACATATAAATGATTATAATAAATATATGAAAGCATAATAATCATTGCTCAAGCGATTTTCAACAGAATCAAAATATAGATATATTTTTGAGTCAGATTGTTTTTCGTTTATTGTATTACAACCACTCTGAAAATCCATTCTCGGAAAGAGTGAAAGTTGGCAGGTATGCACTAGAGGGCTCATGAATTTTGCTTCCTCACTTGATAGATATTTGTCCCGTGTGTATTTGTGAGTTTGCTTGCTGTTTGTTTTTCTTTCACGCGATTAGCATTATTGAAAGATATGGATTTGCCGAGTGTCAGCGGTGTTACATGTGGGAATAAAAAACGAAAATATCTTGATAATGGAAATAGTGATTCGGAGTATTCCATAAATCAGGGTTTTTCTTTTCTTTTTTCTGTTTATTACAAAATTTCTGTAACATTTTTTGAGACAAAATGCTTACAAGCTATATTCACTTGAAAATGAAAATAGCGCACCAATTTTTTCACTCATAATTCCTGCACACTGAAATAGTGGGATATATGCATGTTATTCAATGAGAGACGATTGTATAATTTCAACAATATAACCAAAGCCAAATATATCAAAACAATAATGTGAGAAGCACTTGAAAATTAAAATTCAAACAAAATAGAACACATTAAGTAAAAAATAGATCGTTTAAAAAACAGAAGAAAACGAAATCTATAAAGTGAGTAGCGAATTCAAATGAACTTATCTGCACGGAAAACTTTCAAGAATGATTCAAAATATTTTCATAATAGGATTACCAGATAACAAAATGTGAAAACAGAAGCACGAATAGAGCTAAAAAATGAGGAGATTTTATTTTATGGCTCGTTCTTACTGCAGTACTGAAGCGCGTTTGATTTGTTAGTTACCATGGATTGACCCAAAAATGAATGTGAGTAAGGTAATAATATTATACTGGATAATTTAAAGAGCTTTATAATTTAGAAGGTTGATATTTAATAATAAAATTTTTATGATTTTGGTTCTATGATTATTGTTTTATTTAAAAACGAGAGAGGGGAAAACATCATTTGCCCGTTTTGCAGAGATTTTAACCCATGGATTTGTCCGAATTATATTTTCACATTGTTAAATTAAAAACTAACAAAGAAGTTTTGAGTAAATTAATTAATAATCACATACAATTAACTCAATGATTTTATATAGAATTTAATTACTTTCGTTTGGTATTGTTTTTTTTCTTCTTCCAATTTTGAAAGAGTTTGTTTATTTGCGCTTTGGATAGGTACATAATAACTACATAATATTTTAGTTCAATTCACTTGATTAAAAATGGTATTTAAGTAGTTGTTTTCCTAAACATAAGAATTTCATGAAATAAGCTTATTTATATTAAAATCAAAATCATTTATTTTCAACAATTCGTATTAATCAACAAAGCAGTTATTTTCTTCTTTTTTAATGCCCAAATCCAAAAATTTAAAATTAATATTATCATCATGATTACGGAGCAACATTAATTCCTCGGGATAAATGTTATTCAATAAAATTGTACAATCTTGAAAATTAATGATAGTTAATCAATAAATCAAACCACAAGCGGAGAAAAATATATTTGTATTATTAGCGTTAAATATATATTTCTCTTAAAAAAAATTATAGTATTTTTGTCAACGTGTGCTGATTTCACCAAATCTGAAGCATGTGATGGAATAGAAAAAGCAAGTGTAAGTATAAGTATCACTTGATGTTATTATAAATTTATATTTTGTATGATCTTTAGAAATAGTATTTAGTTATCCAGAAATCACTGAAGAATTAATTAAATTATGGTTCTTAAAGTTTAGTGCATGTTGCTCTACTGTATCAAACATACTATATCAATATTGCGATACTATATTTAAAAGATATTCAAATAAAAATAAAAATAAAATATTTTTTTTCCGAACTATTATTGACTTACTGACACTAAATACATTGGGAATGGGTTATAAGTACTTAATAAATTAAAATAGCTACTTCATATAAGTATTGTGACAATAATTCTGCTTATAGTTTCCAGAAACGGAATAGTAACTAATCAGTAAAGAACTTATTTTGACACGTAAGGCGCCGAAAGCAAGCAACCTTGCAGCAAATGTTTTTTTTTTCTTTTTTGAATAATTTACTAAGGTTGATTGGTTTACCGTTATTCTTACACAGCAAACATGCTTGAATGATAATTTTATTTTTTTCAAAAGATTAAACATAGGCATTTTTACAAAAAAATATTTTTATAAGCTTTTATTACAAATTTTTTTTTATTTCTTTCCCCTCTTCCTTTATTTGTTATAAATATTTTTTATGATGACTTGTTATGTTTTTGCATCCAATTTCGATAGGAAGAGGCTATCTATACGAACTTCATGCTCGTTAACTATGATAGTTAAATTTAAAATTGTTTCAAGCTGGGATGGTTTATTTGCTAATCATTTATAAACTACGTTGTCGTGTCGACATATTTATTCAAGCAGTATTATAGACTTGTTTTTTCCGTCGAAAAATTATTTAAAATACGAAAAATAATTCATATAAAATTTCATTTCAGTTTTTTTTTAGTTAATTTTTACATATGTTTTTTTCTTATTATAGAGCTGCGGCACAGAAATATTAAACAGACTCATGCTGAAGGAAAATGCTGAAGACTCAAATTATAGCATCGACTTAATATATTCTTCGATAATGCAAATATAGAGCTTCAACCATTTAAGCATTTGCTAACTAATTATTTTCGAAAAAATAAAATTTACCCTTAGCAAGTTCAAGAAGCTAATTCTTCTTTAATTCTATATGTGTTTCCTCCAAAACAGAATTTCTTTTATTTTTTCTTCTTTTTTTTTAACTTTTACAAGCTTTTTGATTTAGGAACGATAATAAAAATTGAAATAAGTGTGTAAGTACATCAAACGGTTACATATAAACAAAAAAATATTAAAACTGCCTTTTTTTAATTAATATCTACTGATATACTTTTTTTGCCATTTAGTACTATAATTATAGCTTTTAGCCTTTAAGCCGATCTAGAGTTAGCTTTTCTGGATCGGTCTTCAAATCTGCTGAAAACACTAGATTCTAAAAAGGAGTAGAAAAAAGAATTATCAAAATTGAAAGACAGGTGGTAAAAAATCAATGCTACTTTTGAACTTCTAAAATGACGGAAATATATATATATATATGTATATATATATGAAGATAAAACGAAGGAAAATTATAGACATATGAAAATGGGGGAAGGGGAAATAATGATTGAAAAAATAACAAACAACTGATTAAAAAAAAAGAAAAGAATGCAATTTTTTTTAAAAAAACCGGAAAAAAAAGATATAACCTTTTCATCTGCCCACACGATTATATCCGCAAAAAAGAGTGCGGATGCTTTCTAATATTGTATCAATATAGCCAAAGCAAAATATATTATTACAATAGTGTGAGGAGCACTCAAAATTGTTTTTACAAGAATTACATCAAATAAAATAGAACACAATAAGAAAAAATAGCACGTAAACACAGAAAATAAAATAAAAGAAAAAGAAAAAACAATCTAAAACAAAAACTATAAGGCGAGTAGCGAAATCAGATGTACTTACATAAACAGGAAATTTTTCAAGAATGATTTAAAAATATTTTCGCAACAAGATTGCTAGATTACAAAATATGAAAACAAAAGCACAAATTAAGTGTAAATAGAGGGGTTTTGTTTTAAAGTGCCGTTCTTACTGCATTGCTGAAGTACTTTGTTAAGCTGTGCATTGATTTGTTAGTTACCAAGGATGGTCCCGAAATGGATATGCGCAAGGTAATATTATTCTGGATAATTTAAAAAA